AGGAACAAAAGCCAATAAAGTTCATTATTTCTCTCACACCCTACGTGCTAATTTTGCACGTAGTCTCTATCTGTATTCCTTAATAATTATTACTGATGTTACACCTTTTGTGCACATGTTTTGTTTCCGCTAAAGTGTCCGTTGCCGGGTAATGGGAGGTGGGGCCAGTCAAACTACATGTACGTAGCTTTTTTCCCACCTTCACAACCACAATCTCAAGTGCAACTGTTTAGTACTTTGTGTAGCAAAATGAGCCAAGCTCCGAACTTGAGTGTTATACATCTACATCATTAACCCCCAAAGGATCTTGAAAAGATGTAAATCAGAATTTGTCATTTTTGCTTGGAGTTCGCGCATCCATGCCTTGTATGGGCCCAGCAGTAGACTCCGCATTTTGCAACAACCAATAGCATCAATTCAAGTGGCATACCAGCAATAATTGGCCGAACCATAATGCAGAATGCAAATAAAGTGTGCCTTCACAGTCCCAGCTATACCAGTCCGTAGGTGGCAACCATTCAGAACACAGTACTGAAATGTCCCCAGACATTTCTACAATTATGGAAAGTGTTCAAGTTCCATCTAAATACAAAAAAGGTCACCCGTACTTACTCAGCATGAAAATATCTAAACTTATTCAGAGCATGGTGACTGAACAGCAATGAAGACTGGATGAAGATGACACAGCACAGCGTCTTGTGCAAACAGGACAGCAGCAACTGCACTGTGTCCTGTATGTCCTTCATCCTGTTATCAATGCTGTTCTGCCACAATGTTCATGAACCAAATATCTCTTGTTCATTCAGAGCAGCATTTAACTTTCAATGGACTCCAGAAATATGTAAAACAAAACCTACAATATACTATAACTCCTCCAAAGTTCCCATCACAGCACAGATGTAGCACAGGGTATGGCATACAATTTGAGTAGGACCTCTTATCTTATACTTCTCAAAATCACTAAATGCACTCTAAAAGAGAGAGTGAAACATTAAAGGAAAAAGGATAATTGAATTTTAGAGCATTTATGGTTGGGGCCCTATGTCCAGGGCTCCACTGGTCTTAGTCGCCCGCCGGACTTGATCCAGGATTGCGAGCTGCACTTCTGGGTCCGAGCTGTCTAGTTGTGCCTCCCACTGCTCCATACTAACAATTAGAGGTTTGGAACAAGCGCCTGCGGGAAACAGACCCCGGTATGACTTTTCGTCTTCCAGATAAAATCAGCCGAAGACATGCTAATATACTGCACCGAATTCGCCTGGGCGTCGCCTTCACTCGCCACTACACCCACCTAATCGGCCATGCAGACAGCCCAAATTGTGAACGCTGCCAAGTGCGCGAAACGATAGCTCACATATTTTGTGACTGTGCATTATACGTGGCGCAAAGAAAAATGCTAACTACAACGTTGGCAAGCATTGGACGAACACCATTAAGTGAAAGCCACATATTGTCTGCAATGAACGACCAAACAGTGTCAAAAATTGCTACAAAGGCTGTTCTAGACTTTATAAAAACCACTGGACTAGAAGCTAGACTGTAGGGTACTATGCTAAGTGGCTACTGTACATACGCACTACCTCTTCTTGTCCCCATCATCACCCTTCATCCCTCTTTCCTTCACCTTTCCCTTACCCCTGTGTAGAGTAGCAGGCTAGAGCGAACTAGCTCAGACTGACCTCTCTGCCTTCTAATAAATTCTCACTCTCTCTCTCTTTTGCCAAGAAAATTTGGTTCACGATAGCACCCCCACAATATGTGGTAGAGTCGGCCTACCGCCGCACAACGGACATGCAGCTGGGTAAAGTGTTGGGTTTATCGCGTGTAAGTTCAGTAGATGCAGAAATACATCCGCCTGTAGGTCGGTGGCCTTTTCTTCAATAAGGGATCTATGAAGTGATCCACATTGTAACCGCGTAAACCGCTGGTGAGCGATAAACTTTCTAGATAAAATTGTTATGCTCAACCAAAGACAGGCATTCTCCACTCGGTTAAAAAAACGCGCAAGCAAGAGTGTTAGCACTTTCGTTGCTTACTAGCCCTACGTGTCCCGGGCACTAAATCAAGCAATGGTGATGAGCGATTCTGCACCCTAGCAGCCTCAGCACCATTACCGGACAGCGGCCAGTTAAAAAGAGACGACAGGCCTTCTGGGAGTCATAATAACCGACGGCTCTTCTCTATGCTCCTTAAACCTCATGGCTAAGGCTATGGCCATAGTCTCCAGCGTTGTAGCCGAGGCTGTGCGCACGTAGGCATTTGCCAGCAGTGTCATGTTGTTGTGGACGGTTTTTATGTCACTCTGTTAATCGATGGCGGGGCAGTCAAAAAAAGTATTGGAGTGTAAATACTTATGACTTTACTTAATGTAATCATTACATTGAACCGACGCATAGACCAAATGATCTCAAAGGTTAGCAATATATTGTTTTTTCTTCGCCGAAACTTTAATTGTGCCACAAAAAAGGTAAAGCAGACCCTTTACTTCCAACATGCAAGATCAATACTTGACTATGCTAGTGTTATCTGAGACCTGGTGCGAAAGTATCTGCAGGAACAATAAAAAAGGTTCAAAACCTGGCAGCCCGATTCGTCAGCAATAACTACGACCCATTCGCAAGTATCTCAGAAATGAAGGCCACATTAGACTGGGAAACTCAACAGTCTAGAAGAGGGGAAACCTCGAATAAAGCTTTTGCATTGCATATATTATAACCAAACAGGAATCGATAAATCGAAATGCCTATTAGCACCAACATATCGCTCTAAGAGACGCCAACATGCACATAAAATAGAAGAATACTCATTCAGAACTACTAGTTTTGCCAACTCCTTTTTAAGAACATTTAAAAAGTGGAATGAACTTCCAGAATGTGTAGTAAACTTGAGAGACAACGGTGCTTTTTTTTCATCGTTGTGATACTATGACGTGTATTTCATCTTTAGTACCTGTTTGCTATGTGCCATATTGTACTAAAATTTTGTTTACGGACTGCAATTGTTACATGTTGTCATAATTATATTTTTTTATTGTGTAATTGTATATTATCACAGAAATGTCATTAACTGTACTGACTTTGTGAATACATCCCCTGCAGTAATGTCACTAAAGCGTCGCAAGAACTATGTAAATAAATAAATGAAAATTGGCTGCACCGACATACGCAACGTTAGAAGCTGACCCGAACTGCTTTCAAAGCCATTTTACTCTCGTTCTTCGTCGCTCCAAATGAGAGTCTCGACGCGTATTTCTCGGCACCGGGTGCGCCCTAGAAGGTTCGGCCAACTGATTATTCCAAATGACCACCAGGGCAGCACATCACACTAATAGCCTGCAGAACAAACGTGTGGCACAATTATTGTACGCTGCTATCCAGTTGTGCAATTACAGTAAAATCTCGTTAATTCAAGCTGTTATTTTGATATCCAGCTCAACTTGAAATATTTCTGCAGACGCATGTTTTGCAATGCAAGTCTGAGTGAATAATTTGAATGGGTGGTTAGCACCAGTCTAGTTAATTAGAAAACTTGGGGTGCCAATATGTGCCAATTACTTGATCGCGATTTCACCGCAAATCTGCAGAAACAATGGCCTTTAAAAGCCACAAGGCAATGCAACGTGGCGATACTAATGAGTGGCAGCTGATGGAGTGCAGCCCCGCTACTTCCAGAAAAAACGGTCTTGTGGCTAACTAGAACATACACCTGCGGAAAGCAAGACGTGCTTCACCGCAAAACAGCAATGATGCGCGGGCAGCATATTGCTTGTTTCTCACCACGTCAGCGTGTCACGATTTCTCCATTCTTTTTGAATTGTAAAGAAATTTAATGAAGAATAGTTTGGCGAAATTCTCAATGTATGCGGACGTCTGATTGCCGCTGGCTCCAGTGATTTGTGCACTTGCACTGCTGACCGAGTTCTTGCCTGCGACGGCTACTTCCAAAACTAAGTTCGAACGCTTCAATGATCATGTTTTTCAGCTGAAACATATTGTGAATTTATTCACACTAGTCATTATTAAGTTGTCTATTTTACTAGGAAGAATGGGCGAATGGTCACATTATAACATGCTGACGCAGCCAAAAGCAGGAGACATGCTTCCTGCGTGCCACTACTGCACTGCAGTGAAGCGAGTTTTGTTTTCTGCCGGCACGTATTTTAGTTGATCAAAACAGTGTTTTTTTATTTCTTTTCTTTTTCGGTGGCAGCAGTGAGGCCTGCCATTCCTCTGCGTTTGCGGCAAAATTAAGACGAAGTATTGCGGAAGAACGTAACCCTTGGAGCTGCAAATTAGCCAGCAAATCAAACAATCAGTCTTGATTACTTAGAATAATTACATTTCTACATCCCACATTTTGTATTAATTCAAAAAACCCGCTTATTTAGAAGATTTCTCACGGCCCTAGTGACTTCGAATTAACGAGCTTTTACTGTATAGTACCACTAACGTACCCTAAGCTCGAGCAATGTTATGCCATTAAAAATGCATCTTGTTAACTAAAAATGCCACACCGAACAATAGTAAATAAGGTACGAGATTGGAAACCACAGAACATTACTCTCCATGTGAGCTACTAAACAATTTGCAGGGACTACTTAGGTTGGATGGACAAGTTATCGGTGTTTAGCGATGGTAGCAGTCACATTAAGGTAGATGTGCAATGAGCAACGACACTGAGAAGTTACTTTCCACAGTTTTGTCTATATATAATTAGATACAACTTTAAAAGTCTGCAGCCCTTCCTCCTCAAAGGTGGATAAAGACAGCACCTATGGGACTAATGTCATGAGCTGGACCCCTGGTGACCCTTCATTTGAGGTCATCACCTGGCGTGCTTCAGTCATTTGGGCAGAACCTCTGCGGGTCAGCTTGTATCCATCTAGAGATGCTTTTATGTGAACTGTCATTGCCAGACATATCCGGCAAGGGCTTCTGGAAGCATGAGAAACTATCAAGATTTTGCTTTTTTCAGGAAATGCTCCACGGAGTGCACAAACATCTGCACGTAAACATTTTATTGTTCTATGTACAAGGACAAAGATGGCCAAAGTCTTGAATTACAGACTGCATGCAGGAATGGGAGAAAAAGGTAAAAATGAGCTTGCTCTCTGCAGTATCTCTTAGGAGAAGCCACGACACTCGCTCTTGCTGGCCATACAGCACAATATGATAGTCTTATTCCCTTCCTTTCAGACCTAGTTAAATTCTTGTACCAATGAGAATGCCCGATCATATTTATTTTTTTGCATGTCACGATTTTCCGCACAGCAAGAGTTCGGTGCGAATGCCCGATCATATTATTGTTTTTAAATGCCACGATTTTCTGCACAGCAAGAGTTCGGTGCCTTTGATGACCAGGAAAATGAAAGGTGAATAACGCCAGTTGCTCAGTCACCTTCTGGTAGTGGTGGGGCATCAGTTGGAAGCGGTGGTGGTAGTGGTGGTGCATCTTCTTTCTTGCGTGGGCTGCGCTCCCGTGGCGGGGAACGCGAGTCGCCATCATCCAGCCAGTTGCGGATGATGGTTGCCTTATTAATGCGTTGCGTGCTGGTGCTAGCACCACCCTCGGCTGCTGCAAGTTCCTGCTTCTCCTGGGCTCGCTGTGCCGCTGCCTCCCGCAGCTTCTTCAGCTCCTCAGCATCAGGTGCACGGCTCACAATCGGGTTGCGTCGCTTCCACGGAGGGCAGAAGGATCGGTCTTGTGGAGTCTCGGAGTCAGAGCGCCGGTCACGACTGTAGCTACTTCGCTGGTAGCTGCCACTACCCCCACCACTGTTGTAGTAGGAGCGTGGCGACGTCCGGTTGTTGTAGTAGGGTCTGAACGGGCGCCGTACTCCACGCCCACCCCTGAAGTAACGGTTGTTCTGGTAGCCACCACGGTAGTTGTTGTAGCGGCGGTTGTTGAAGTTGCCCTTGTAGTAGCCACCCCGATTGTTGTAGTAGTAGGGCCGATAACCTCCACGTCGCATAGGTGAATGGCGCCGGTGCGAACCGTCAGTGTCCGAGCTGTAGCTGCGGCTGCGGCGGCGACCCTCGCGCGAGTCCTCTGATGAGTATCGTCGACGCCGTGAATCGTCACGCGAGCTATCTGAGCTCCGGCCACCTCGGCTGCCACGGTGGCGGCGGCCCCGGGACGCTACGCTTGAACGATCTGACGAATAATCATCCGAGTGATCGGCGCTGCGGCGGCTGCTGCGGCGCCTCCGCACGGGCGACTTGGAGCGGCCCGATGATGAATAGCTTTCGGAGTCTGCACGCGAGCGGCGGCGGCGCAGCTTGCGTTTACTCTTGCCCTCATTTTCCTCGTTCTTAGGGCTGCTTTCACGGCTGCTCGACCGGTCCTTTTTGCGCTTAGCCGGTTCAGAGTCCGAGTGGATAGAGCCTTCCTCGTGGCTGGACGCAGTAGTCTTGTCATCGGCACCTCGCGATGGTTGTGGAACATCGTCACGCTGCTCATCTGAGCTCACTGAACCTTCTTCATGGCTGTCACCTGCATGTGCAAGCGGCTTTTTGACGGCCTTCCACTTGAACTCTATACCCTTGCGCTCGAGTGCTGGCTCTGTACGTTTCACCACTGACTCAATGCGTGGTGCCGACTGCGCTGGCTCGGCTGACGGGGCTCTCCCCGACTCAGATGAACGGTCCTTACGCTCATAGTATGCCGTGCTTGCTGCAGCTGACTTGGGGTCAACATTGAACAAACGTGGTGGTTGCATTTCCTGGTTGGACTTCATTAGGAAGGTGACCTTAGGTGACAGTTCGCCAAGTTCATCATCACGACTGGCCTTCATTATCTCTGCCTCGTCCTCATCCTCATAAAGATGGGCTAGTTTCTTTGACATCGGTGACAAAGAGCTGCGTTGCCTGCAAGTGCAAGATGAATATGTTAGTCTTTTATATAGCAAGATAGGATTGCGTAATCAAGTTGCCTTCTTATCTAAAAAAAAAGTTGCAGCTTTGCCGCAAAGGCGAAGCAATTAATGCGATAGAAACAAATTGGAATGCGGAATCTCACGCAAAAAATGGCAAGCAGATCTAAACGAGATAATTTCGAATCCAATTCAAATGTTACATTATTGAATACTGTAAAGAAACATGAGCATATTGTCACGACTCTACTAACCAGCACAATACTTTTTTAAACTGAAATAAGGCATGTGTAAAACTTGTTTTTTTTTTTTTATTCAAAGGGAAGCGAATATCCTGTACTTTAAATAGCAGGATATGACTTTCAATAGAATGCAACCGAAAACCTTTAAGTATATTATGTTCTAAAATTTACTATACTTAGACCATATAAGCCAGTATAACAAGGTTTTAAACTTTGATTTGTGATTGATTTGTGGGGTTTAACGTCCCAAAACCACCATATGACTATGAGAGACGCCGTAGTGGAGGGCTCCGGAAATTTCGACCACCTGGGGTTCTTTAACGTGCGCCCAAATCTGAGCACACGGGCCTACAACATTTCCGCCTTCATAGGAAATGCAGCCGCCGCAGCCGAGTGCCTTAGCCACTGGACCACCGCGGCGGGGCAAGGTTTTAAACTTTGAAAATGATGACATGGTGCAAAGGCAATATGTTCAATTAAACTAGAAGTGGGGCTTTGCAACAGGGTGCATTTCCCCTGGGTAGGTGTATCCATAGCATAGCACTCCACTGCAGTGAAAGTACATGCAGTTTATCAGGGGGTGTTCAACTGAAACGGTACAGAACGTTGCAACAATCCGACTTAACATGGGTGCCTAGGCTGCAATGGGTGAATAAAGATGTCATTGGAGTCTTCGCCGTGGATTGGAGCATGCGGGCAAAACATAAGTTGAGACATACTAATTGATCTTGTCAGCAACTTACAGCAGCGTCAAAAGGCAAGCAAACAAAATACTAGAATGCTGTGTTGTGCTGTAATATTTGTCTCATCAAAAGGCAGACTATACCACTCAAATCATGGTGGTTGCTGGCACTGTGTTGTGACACAAAAGATCTTCCAATTTTTTGCAGCAGAAGCCACAGAGGAAATAGACACATGTAAATATCCCAGCCACAGAGGAAACTGTTGCTCGGTTGCACATCTGGAAACTACCTCAAACAAGGAGGCCCTAGAAAGCCATTTTCCAAGACTTGTCTTACTTGAGTGACCAATTTCCCAATGACACCTCAATCTTTTCACAGCAGCTCAAGATTGCCTGAACTTTCGCCTGTTTTTCTGTTCGCTAGACAGGCTGCACCTTTGAGCCAATACAGAGGCTCTCACTAAACCTACAGCAGTGAAGCCAACAAATGTGCTGTTGTTTCTACAGCAGTGAGTACAGCGTATCTTTATTGCAAACCTAAGCTGCCTAGGCTTTTGAAGTCGGGAACCACAGCAAAGAGCCCTTTTTGCCACCATCTGATACGAGACGCTGCATTTACACCATGCATGCAGTTTTGACTTCATCGCGATGCATGTGCGAGCACCATTTCGTTATCCCGAATTATAGCGATCTATGGTTGAGACTCTGCAAGGGCCCCAAGATCAAGTTGCACATGATTTGCATATCATTGGTGCAATCGCAGGTGATACCATCAAATCTGGGACAATTTATCCGGCATACTTTGGCACAGTTGGCACAAAAGTGGAATCACTGCTATCATAAAACCTACGACATCATGAAAAACATCATCCTAAATGAATATGCCCACTGCGGAGTAAAGGCCTCTCCTAAGTTTCGCTAATTAACTGTGACACATAACAGGTGTTCTACTCTATGTTGCACACACCGCATGTAAGCTCGTATAACGTTTGAAAGGACAACCAAGAGCCCTGATAAATTTACATGTATGCATTTTGGCTCTAACTTGTTTTAGCTATTGTATTTGAATCTAGGCCAATAGTTTTTTTTTTTCTCAGATTACATCAAACTGCAGGGGTCAACTTAGATTCGAGGATTTTGAAAAAAGCGACAACTTTCCTTGAGTAAAGTGATGCAAAACTTGCGCCACCTAGACGATATTATAGTCATTAATAATCAAGCCACACGTGAGGTCGCCATTTTGATTTTTGTGGCGAGTGTTGAGGCAAGCTGTTTGTCATTTCGAGTTGTGCTTCGAGTGGTTTGTATGTGGCAAAGCTCAATAGAGCACAACAGGCGGCATCATTATAGTGCCACTTATAAAAGGAAAGTTGTCCAAGCCGCGAAGTCGTCGTCCAACATTCAAACTGGGCGGGCACTTTGAAGTGGACGAAAAAAATGTTTGTCGCTGGAGCGGCTACAACGTGGGACGACATCCCAGAAACTTTGATTGTGCGCTCTTTGAAGATGTGCGGCATATTATTGCGCTTGATGGCACAAAGCACTGGGCACTGTTTCATGACAGCGACAAAGAAGTCAGCGATGATGACTCAAAATCAGCGTGTCTGCAAGTGCAGCATCTCTATAATGCAAACAACTAGAAGCAGTGTGAGAAAAAGAAGCACACACAACAGGACTAGAGGCTGTATGTTTTAGATGCAAAGCAGCTCTTGGACTAGCCTGTGCAACGCTGTCCCTCTGCCCGCACCGCGCTACCCTGGCTGCAGTTGGGGCAGTGCAAAGTAGGTCACACCTTCCCTCGCAGCACACGCGTATTGACGTCACTCTCCCCCTAGCCTGTCACTGCTCGCTGTGTGCCATCTCTCTTGTTTCACCCTCTCCACCGCTCGCAACAATCGAGCAAACAGTCTTTATGTGGGATGAAACTTACACAAAACCCAAACCACCTCGTGTGTCTTTGCTTTTTGACCAAACGTTTACTCTATAAAGGCTACACCCAGTTTCGCTAGAGACCGTTCTTTGAGCACTCGCATCGACGCCAGTTTGAACCGTGTGGGCGCCATGAACACTGCTGCTGCTTCGCATCTTATCAGGATTCCCTTCGGGCAATAGTCCACAATTTTTTATCTCGAGTTATTTGCCTTATGAACCAACTGCGTTGTTTCATCTTCATGTTCAATAAATTTGTTCTTTTTGTGAATGCTGTCTTCGATGTTTCATTCTGTCTACATTCAAGGTAATTTTTTTTTTCTGGGCTTCGGACTTTTAGGGGTCTGCTTACAATCGGGGTCGGCCTATATTCACGTAAATACGGTAAGCAGAATGAATAAATTTGCGAAAAAAGAGTGAAGTTTACAAGTTCAGTTGTGCTAGGCTCCACTGCTGGGCAGTTAATAGCAGTGGACAGTATGTACACAAGGGTCTACATTTTTACCACATGTAAACTATAAAGTTTTTTTGTGGGGCAGCTGAAGACCGTTTTTCAGAAGAGAGGTCCAAGAAAACGTGAACTCACGGAGCAGCTTTAGTGTTAGCTGCCTCAATAGGGGGTGAAGAAAGCACCATCGCAGGCTCATCCTTCCAGTAGCTTTCTGAAGCTGCACCAACAGGAACTGCTGCGCCAGCGGCGGCTGGAGCAGCTTCTTCAGGAGGTGGGCTGGTGTTGGCATGTTGGCCATCACGTGACTTGCGCTTTTTCTTGGAGCCACGGTGCCGCTCAGCTTTGCTTTCCTGAAATGACACCGTACCCAAGTCAAGAATATTGACATACGGTAATTCTAACTACTACATATATATACACATCTACTTCAATATCAAGACCGACATATATCAAGACACTTCAGTGGGTAGGGTGCTTAGACTGCCGTAAAATGTCCAACAAGCATCCCCCCTCCCCTCTTTAAGATCTGAAATAAGCGCCAATGACCGGTTCGGGACCGGAACAAGTGCCCTCCTCCCTAATCTGATTGGATTATTCTTCACTGTAGAAGAGGCGCTTGCTCGGAATTTTACGGTATGCCATAGATGAAGAGGCGACCTTCACAGACACAGGAGACCTTCACGACAGAACCTCAACGCAGTGTTGCAAGATTATCACAAGCAAGACTAGTGCACAAGTTGGCGCACGAAGAAGTGCACAAACCTTGCGGTCCTTGTGAGATCTTCTTGAGCGGTGGTGCCTGCGACTGTGGCGTTTGTAACCACTAGATGATGAAGAATGTGATGATGCTCCCGACGAGGAAGAGGACGACCACGATGATGATGATGAACTATGATGACGGCGTCTTTCTTGTGCCTGCATCAGAAAATCAACCTGGGTCTATCTAGTGCATGAATTTTTAAATCGGGTTTGACGGAACTCTGGGGTTCTGTGAGGGAGCTATAAGATTCTGCGTGCGACCAGAAATAATGTGACCCACACGCATAGAGTGAAAAATTTGCTTTCAACTTGGCATTTAACAGAGCCATCACACGCCACATCCATACACTACAAATTTCAGCAGCAGCCGTAGAAACTTGTACAGTCAAATCCCATCAAAAACAGCCTACAAAGAACAATTTCTTAATTCCCATCGGCGGCCCATAGAAAACAATGTGAAACATGCCAAGCCACAAGGAATGATTTGTGCCATTTCTTGCATTTAGGAGTTTAGAACGATGAATCCGTAAACACTACAGGAAGCGATGATTCAGCACAGATGTGTGAAAATTCGTTGGCTTTGGGGACAATCTTAGTTTGTTGGAATGAGGCTTGATGAGCATCTCTATCAGCTTTCTCCTAGGAACATTGTTTACTCCATTAAATCTTATTTTGCCTCGTCATAGCTAGAGACCGGATTATAGGCAAATGCCAATTTTCGTTCCTTGCGTTCCTATCGTGCCATTTTGATATATGAGCATGATAGATAAGGGCTTTCATGGTGTTCTTAGAGTGCCCATAAATGCCTATTTAGAGTGTTCGTATATTAAAGGACTTTCCAGGACCTGTTGTAAGTTTTTCAAGGACTCAAAGCGACATGCCAAATTGGAATTCTTCAATCTAAAATTTTCAAAGATGACCAATTTCATTGCACTTATATTACATGGATATCGCAATTATAAAAAAAAGAATATCTAAATAACTCCTAGCACCCTCTCCATAGGGAGAGGGCACGATGTCATGCCTGAAAGTTACGCGCTGACGGGCTTCCACACGCATGCATAGTCAGGTCTTAAAGGGATCATGCCACAATATTGGTTGCTTGCGTGTCCTTTGCTGCAAGCTTTAATTATAGCTCCAATAAATACGATACACACACCAAGATTCATTTATTCTCGCTACATAATTTGTTGACGTTTTGATATGGACAATTTTAAGCTTCCTGTTCGAGGGGACCGCGTTGTGCAGGTACATAGCAGTGTAGCTGACTTAGTCACGTGATCAAAAAGTTTTGCACGGGTCATGCTGAGTATTGTCAGCTCTCGCACACGTGCCACACAAGCACCTGCAAAACAAACTCGCCGCTACTTGCAGCAGCCGCGATGCTTTGCCGGTAAAGTCTGTAAGTCACTCAGCTGACTACAGATCTGGTGTGACGTCGCTAGAACTTTTGTTGCCTTCCTGTAGAGTTACGTCAGTGTTGGACGTGCTCGCGATGGGCGTCGATTAGGAGAATGAGCATTTAGGTACAAGTTGAGAGGCGACTTAAAATACTTTCTCAAACCCAAAAGGTGCTTGCTATAGCCTTGAAATTTGATGGCACCACCCCATCAAGAGTGTCGGGTGCCGGCTTGTGCACAGTTGACACTCTCAGCACGTTGCTCAACAACCTAAGAAGTAAGAACTGTGACAGTGGTTAATTTACACTTAACCTTTGGATACATGTGTGTTCTTTTCTAGCACCTTTTTGGTTTGTTTAAGCAGCACACTTCCAGTGTCGAGCTACGACAGTCGTTCATCAGCACTCGTCCTGTGCATTTTTTTTTTCGTGCGTCCTACGTGCTTGAGCGGCGCGTTGCATGTATGACGTTGCTTGGCCTTCTTCGGGTGACATTCTAATTTTTTGCTATCACATTCACTGGTTCACCCTTGCCACAAACTAACTTTTTTTACATGCACTTTTGCAAAATGGGATCATGTGGACCCACGCCGCACTGCTGCTTCAGAAATAAAGAGTTTGACAGGTTCACACACCGAATGTACCACATTTAGGAGGTCGCAATGTCGATATGAGAGTGTACTGCTCAGGTAATTCAAAATTTTTAAGGATGGCAAAAAATTCTAGGACTTTCAAGGGTTTTCAAGGATTTCAAGGACATGTACGAACCCTGCTATATGAGTGCTATTCAAGCCCAAATTTTGTTTTCGAGCATGGTGTGAAACCGTTATTTATGTGAAAAAAGGCAACATTGATATTTCAAAACACTATAAGGTTAAACGAAGACAAAGCTGACATGCTGCGAGCGATTGGAGGAGGAGCATGAAGAGTGCAAATGACGCTAGTATTTCTGCAGCCCTAAGTGGAAGCACGTCTCAGCGTCTGCAGGGGAAGAAAAAGAGAAAATTGAAGATGGGGTAAAAAAAAAATAAAAGTGGCGTCTATGGCTGTGTACGCGGCGACCGCCTTCTACAGACAGCTGTCCTGTGCCCTGAAGGAACTGAAGAACCGCCCTTATGACCTGGGTGCTGCGGTGGGAAAGGAAGTGCTGGTTTTTCTGGGCAGCCGCGGGTAGCCCCCTAGAGAACGAATGAAAAACCATAGAGGGCCTCTCATGGAGTGCTCTTGTTGAATCAGTGGTGGCGATTGATTCAGTTCCTTCAGGCCATTAGTAAAAAATGACAGGTGTAACAATATGAAAAATGAACTAGGATGGGAATTACTATCATCAAAGACATTGCAGCAAACACAAGCTAAGCGTTGTCAGGGTTGGCGAAGGCACGCTGCAGGAACACCGAGAAGATGAACGCAAGCAAAATAGGGTAGTAGTAGTAGTAGTAGTAGAACATAGTAGTAGTAGCAGTGGTAGTATGTATGTTTTTACGTAGAAAAACACGATATGAATATGAGGGATGCGGTAATGGAGTTCTTTGCAAAATTTGACCATCCGGTGTTCTTTAACGTGCACCGACATTGCGCAGTACACGGGCATTTAGTTTTTCGCCTCCATCTAGGCGTGACCTGCGTGGCCACAATCGAACACTCGGCATTCGGGTCAGCAGCGGAGCACCTTATAGTGACTGGTCCACCGAGGCGGACGCGAAACGAGGGCTGATTAGTGAATAGCATCTTGAGGCTATTCAAAAAAATTTAAAAATAAAAATAACAAGCTGAGGTTGCGTTTGTGCGTTTTATTATTTTTCTCAGCTTTCATTCATTATACTGATTTTGAAAAGACAAAAGAAAAAGAAAGATACAAAGACCGCTGTTTTTCTTTACCCTTTGTCTTTGCGCTTACTTTTCAAAATGATATAAAGCAGCTAGCCCAAACCAACAAACCGTATTTACTCGCATAATCCTCGCACTTTTTTTGCCAGAACACCGACGCAAAGTTGGGGGCTGCAAGAATTACGTGAGGAAAACTTTCCACGAAAACGAAGTGGCCTGGCGAAGTTCCTGTCGTGAGTGGAGGTCTCATGCCAGGAACTTACAGCAAGCTTTAAGGGGGGGCGCGGCAAGTAAAGTGCCGATTTTGGTCAAAATATGCGATTTTCTGATTTATTTTTTTTTCGTAATCTTCAGACCTTCAACTTCCTTGTTCTAAAATATTACAGCGAAACGTGCGCTACAAATCCCGCAAATAGTGTTTTTGCCGAGGCTAGTCGCCGAAAAGTGCGAAAAAAAAGCCCCTGAAACGGTGTTGTTCACGCCGCACAAACGCGCCAAGTTGTTGACCGTGGGCCGCCATTTTGGTAGCTTTGGAAAGAGGAGAAAGCCGGCTTCCTGATGGTCGCGGTCTCGTATTTCGCCGAGTGAAAATAAAAGCGCGAGGAGCAAGTAAAAAAACGAAAACGAAGAACGGCAATTGGCTGCGCGGGTCACGTGGTAGCAGGCGCGACCTCTTACTGGTCAAAGCTGCGCCGCGCACCTTGGCAACCTTGGAAGCGCGAGCGCATCTGCGGCCGCCGTGTCGAGAATCATCCGGCGTGCGCTTCGTTTTTTGCCAGTTTGCTGTTTTTGTGATAGTTCGCGTGCTTTTTTTACCAAGCTTTGTTTACATCGGTGGTCTCTTCTGAGTGCTTGCTCATACTGCGGTGCTATGTTGCCGCAAAAAAAGTTCCGGAGCGTCCACAAGTACGGCAAGCGTCGGAAAGCTTGGAACAAAGGGCAGACGACTGCGGCTGCCGTCCCAGTCGCAGTTCCGGACGGAGCATGCTCTTCAAGCGTCACGGAGCCTCTACTCAGACCCTTCGCTGATTGTTGTGAGGCCGAGAGTGTGGAAGGTGCCACATCGTCGTATGTCAGACCGCCGGATGCCGTCGACCGTGATGGACGCTCTCGCGAACCCGCTTGCGGTGGCACCGCGTCGGCAGCCGTTGCAACTCCGGGCGTGCGCGCGTCGAACATTCTATCGCGAGTTTCGGCCCAGATTCCGAGCAGTGAAGAAATCGCGCAGCGGGCGCAGACAAGGCGGGATGTTTTGGATGCCGTAGCATCGAAGTCCGCTTCAAAGCGGAAGCTCGAGCTTCTGAACGAAGGCTGCGACGAAAATGACGGCGGTAAGGACTCCACATTCTTCATTGTAAATAAGAAGATGCTGAACGGTCTGCTTTCGTCAGTAAAGTGCAACAAGTGCGACGAAGGGTCGATACGCCTCGAGACTACGCACTGCCTTGGACTCGCAGCGAGGATGGAACTTTTTTGTGACAATTGTGGCAGAGTGAACAGTGCGTGATCGTCCCCGAGGTGCTCCGGGCAACAAAAAACGAACCCCTTTGAGGTAAACGTGCGTGCTTTGAGGGCTGTGCAGTCAGTTGGCAGAAAACAATCTGCCATAAATGACATTTTTTCTGCGATGGACATTTCGCATCGAGCACTGCACCACAAGTCCTACCAGAGACTGCAAAGGAAGTACAGCCACCCTGCCACCACATCAGCTGCCACCCGCATTGAAGCAGAAAGTGCACAGAAGGTGCATGACATTTACAAGGACCTAGGAGGAGTGCCAGGCAACATTGACGTCATTTACGACGGCACGTGGATGACGAGGGGGCACAGAAGTCATATTGGCGTGGGCTGTGTAATCGAGCTGTACACAGGCTTGGTCTTGGACCACTGTGTCCTGTCCAACTACTGCCAAGGCTGTGCTGTTGGCCCC